ACGACCGGTGCGTGGCTGGTCTTCCAGGCTTTCATTTCCTTTCTGGAAGCGACTGTACCAATCATAGGCAGTGCTCTTGGACACAGTGTCCGGGCCAAACGCGGTATCGATGTCGGCGATGGAATTGGCTGCCTTCTTCTCGATTCGGAAGTCATAAAGAAGAAGCAGGCGAACTTGCTCCTTAGTAAGAGGGTAGGGCTGGTTCATGGCTGGAGAGCACCAGGGCTGTAATAATATACGGTCGTATGCCGAAGGACACGACCTACTCATAAACACACGCAGAACATTCTAGCATGCTCTGGAAAAAAATTGTACTGGATATTCAAGAAATTCCGAGAACTTTCTTTCCAATCAGATAAATATGATAAAATCTCTTCAGTTCCCACCCAGAGGGTGGAGTACTGAAAAGATGAGATGATGTGTCCTCTTCACTTCTGCAAACGGCACTGGAATACCGAACGCCTGTATGGTTTGCAGAATGAGAACGCATTCTCTCAGCTTCCCTTTTTAAGGCTTAAAATGAATGCTTCAGATTACTTTTCCATGTGCTTCACATGTCACTAATCCAGTAGACTTCTATATACCCATACTAAACCTAAACCTTCGTTTCAGAATCAGATGCTGCAATCAGAACATCATAATTCCACATGTCTCTAATATATAGCTCGTATGTTCATTGATTACATAATAAAAAGAGGAACAGGAAAGGAAAAAAGAAAAGGCTTTAATGCAGGATGACAGATCCATAATTGCATCAAGAGGCTACAGGCGGACATGGATACCATCTAGTGAGGGCTCTTGGTACTTCATTGTGATCGCGCCCTTGCTACACTACCTTGGTAACATAGAACATTGAAACAACATTGATTCAATGTTCACCTTCAATTCTCAACATTTGTACTCTCAATCCACATTTAATCGATGTTTTTAAATGTTCTAATTATCTAATAAATATTTTTAAATATCCAATGTTGCTTGTCATATACGAACGGTTTACAGGATACAGAAACATTCTTTCAACGTTGAATCAACATCGTCTATAAAAGGATTCAAGACCACTGGGGGTGACCGTAGGATAATTGGATATGGTCCATATACTTGTTTCCAAACTAAAAAATAAAATTATATATTCAATACATTCAACACAATAGACGGCATGCAACTCAAAAGTTGAGGAATCACATTTTTTCAACATTGAAGCCACGTTGTGGTAGATTAATAGCACTCCGGGAACCTACGGGAGAGGTCCAACTTTTCCTCAGCTTGAGAGAGGTTAACAATGATGCCACATCTAAGAAATGTAATTCGAATATCTCCAATTGGAATCCACGATGTGACGTGACAACATTCTATCGACACCGAAACGATGTTCACCTTTCGACCCTCAACGTTCGCACGCTCGATCCAAGTCCGGTCGATGTCGATTCGATGTCATGTGTTACCTTGGTCCGATCGCGAGATTTTGGAACACGGGTGACTCGTTCGTTCGACAAATCACGGGAGCCATGGATTCTCGCGT